CATTGTCACAAATATTTTTCACTGTAAAATGACTATAACTCAATAAAAAATGTTAAAAAAGAAGCATATGACTTGTATGCTGAAAAGTATAAAACATCACTGAAAGAAATTAAACAAAATCTGAATAAATGAAAAGAAATCTGTGTTTGTTGATTTTTAAGACGGCAACACTCCCCATTTTGTTGCTGATCCTAAAATTCGTAACAAAATGCAAAGGACCCAGAATAGCCAGAAGTTTTTTTAAAAAGAAGAACAAAGTTGAAGAACTCAAATTTTCCCATTTCAAAACTTACTACGAAGGTGCAATAATCAAGACAGTGTGGCACTGGCATAAGGATCAACATAGAGTTCAATAGAATAAAATGAAGAGTCTGGAAATAATTTATAGTAGTCAATTTATAGTTAATTGATTTTAACATGAGTGCAAGAAAATTCAGTAAGAAAGAAAAGTCTTTTCAATAAATTGTGCATGAACGACTGATATCCATATGAAAGAGAACAAATTTGGGTCTGTATCTCATACCATGTGCAAAATTTAACTCAAAGTGATTTATAGCCCTAAATGTAAGAGGTAAAATTATACAATTCTTAGAATAAAACACAGCTGTTAATAAAATGACTTTAGGATAGGAAGTGATTTCTTAGGTACCACACCAAAAGCACAAAGGACAAAAGAAAAAAATACACAAATTAGACTTTATTCAATTTAGGGATGTTTGTGCTGCAAAAGAAATCATCAAGAAAATGAAAAGACAACCCACAGCATGGGATAAAATATTTTCAAACCATATCTTTGTTATGGGACTTATACCAGAATGTACGAGGGACAATTCAATAATAAAATCAAATAACTCAATTAAAAATGGGCAGAAATATGAACAGTTATTTTTCCAAAGAAGATATATGTATAGCAAATAGCACATGAAAAGATGTTCAGCACCTTAGTCATTAGGAAAATACAAATCAAGACCACAACGGGCTATCCCTGCATACCCAGTGATAACAACAAAACCAAAAACAAATCAGCAAGCATTGGTGAGGATGTGCAGAGGAATCTGAACATTTGTACGTTGCTGTGGGACAGATAACCAGTCTGGGAAACACTTTGGCAGTTACTTAAAATGATAAATACAGACTTTCCATATGATCCAGCTATTCCACTCATAGGTATATGATCAAGAGAAATGAAAACATATGTCTACATAAAAACTTGTACTCAAATTTTATAGCAGCATTATTCATGACACCCCAAAACAACCCAAACTCCCATCAACTGATGAATGGAAAAACAAAATGAAAAATGTGGTATATATACACACAGTGGACTATTACTTGGAAATGAAAAGGAGTGAAGAACTGATACATGCTGCAACATGAATGAACCTTGAAAACTTAATGCTAAGTGAAAAAAACAGACCTAAAAAGCCTACATATTGTTGTCACTTCCTTTATATAAAATGTCCAGAACAGCAAAATGTATAGAAACAGAAAGTAGATTAGTGGTTGCCTGGGGCTGGGAGGAGGCAGAAGTGGAGGGTACTTGGTAATGGTTCAGGTTTTTTTGGGGTGATGGAAATGTTCTAAAATTAGATCATGGTAATGATTGCACAACTTTTAAAGTATATTAATAATTACTGCCTTGTACATTTTGAAAAGGTACATTGTATGGTTTGTGAATTATAGCTCAACAAAGCTATTATTTTAAAGATGCTGTGATGGACAGACTTGTAAATGTCACTATACGCATAGATACGAATTTTCCTGTAGGATATACCCTAGGAATTGGATCAATCAGTTACAGATAATGAACATTAGCTTTTTGATAAATAGTACCAAAAAGGTTTCCTATAAAATTGTATAAGAACTACCAAAAAGTAAGTTGAACAAAAATACCCATTTTCCTGCACTTTCAACATCTCTGGATTGACATTTATTGATTGATGTTTCAGTTTTTGCCTATTTGATAAAGTATGCCATCTTATTTGGATTTCTTTAAATACTTTGAAAGTTTGAGCCTCTTTTCCTGTGTTTATTGAACATTTTAATTTTTTCACTTTGTACTGCCCATTTGTGTCTTTTATGAATTTTTCTAATCCTTGTTATAAGCCAGGCACTGTATTTGATGCTAGAAAAACAAAGATAAATACAACAGCATCTCAGCCTGCAGATAGCTGACAATCCACCAGGGAAGGCAGATTTGAACACAGCAGCATATTAAGGGTACTCTGTGGTGGAGTGGTTTAAGAGCCTGAGTTCTGGGCTCATATCACCTTGGTTTAAATTTTGAACCTTTTCCTTAATTGCTGTGTGATACTTAGAAAGTTATTTAACCCTTCTAGGCCTCTGTTAATTCACTTATAAAATGGAAATGTCCCCTTTTCACATTGTTGTCATGGGGATTAAGTGAGGTAGCCCATGGGATGTGCTTGGAATGCTGCCTGCACTCAGTAAACATGAGCTAATGGTTTTGTTGTTAGGATGTAATGTGTTATGAGTTATGGACAAGGGGCCATTGGGATCCGAAGGAGAGGCTATTTCAGTCAGAGTAATACCTCGGGAAGGTTTCATGAAATTTCTGGAGGAAGGAAAGAATATTCAGACAAAGGCAATATTTTAAATCTTAATTAAAATGTATGTATTTCTAATGTTTTAATTTTGAAGGATGTGGTTATTTTTAAAACATAGGCACTGGTTTCTTGACACGTTTTCCCACCGATTGAGAAGTGATGTCTATGATCCCGACTCTTGAAGCTGGAGAACATGACTGCCTTGATGAGAAGAACATGGTGGCAGTGATGCAGTGTGACTTCTGCTGGGCCTGCAGCTTCTGCCTTGTTCACCAGAACACTTGCTCTTAAAGTTCTAACCTACCATTTAGGAAGTTCAACTACTCCCAGGCTGCCATGTAATGAGGAAGCCCAGGCCACATTGAGGGGTATGTGCAGTGATCTGGTTGACAATCCTGGCTGAGTCCAGGCTTCAAGTCATCCCAGTTCAGGTGCTAAATGTATAAATGAAGAAACTTCAGATGATTCCAGACTCCAGTCATTCTAGTCATCCTTCAGACACAGAGCCTTCCCAACTGAATTCCCATGTGGACTGTAGCAAGCCATCCCCACTGTGCCCAGTCTGATCTCTGATCCCAAGTCCATGAGCCTAATAAAAGGGTTTCTGCTTTATACTCACAAATTTTAGGTCAGTTTATTACTCAGCAAAGGATAACAGGAACAAAGAGCTAGCTGGAAAAAAATGTTTTATTCCTTCATATTTTCAGGGCTGTGCAAACTTGAAACTCTACAATAGTATTAGCTCTGTCAGTTGGTGACACTGGCCTGGAGCAGCTCAGGTAAGGGCCCTCAAGGGACCTTTCTGGCACAGAAAGGGGGGGCCTGTGGCCAGAGAAGCAAATACTGGATGAATTTCAAGGGCACAACAAATTTGGCGAGGGGTCTGGTGTACAAATGAAAATCTCTTAAAACTCTGCAGCTTTTGTGATTTAGTGCCTGTTCATTAAAAACCACATTCTTTAGGGCAAGTTAAACATAAATATTTCATGTGCATTTTCTAGTGTTTCTCAATGTTTTCTCTACTTAACCCTGCTGATGTACTCAGGGTAATGTTAAGATTTGATCCAAAAAGTGGGGGATGAGAAGGAAAAAAATGTAAGTGTGCTGATCTTTGCTCTCCAAAGACTTGTGCCTCTGACTGCTGTTGGTGGTATGAACTTAGAGGTTTACTTCCTATTCTGGAGGGCATGAAGAATCTGAGAATTTTTAACACAAGAAAGGAAATTTGGGGTTATCAAGCACCAGTGAGCTTTGGAAGGACATTATTCTGGCTCTGTTTTACTGATTTTTTTTAAA